TAGTGAAGCTTCCAGACATCCTTGGAAAGGTGAAGAATCTGAAGGCTTTACTGGAGCAGTCTGATCTCTTTCTGAGGTTTGTGGCAGAGTAACATGATGACTTCTTCCTCCGGTCTTCCGAGGCCACTGCCTGTGAGGCACACTACAGCATTAAGAATCAATCAGATGGAGATTTATTCAAGTTTCCAGGGTTCCGGAAGAAGAGCTTCTCTGGGTAGCTTTGCATGCTAGTTCCCAGGGGAAAAGTGGGAAAATGGGGGAGTCTTAGAGCTGAAATAAGTTCTCCACTTCTGGGCTGTTCCTCACATTCAAGATAGTTACATCTTCCATGCTCAAATCTCTTAGAGAGATTGGTTCCCTACCCATGATATCTACATCCATTTTTTAAAAGATCCTGTGAGAAAAATCACATCTATTCCGATATTTCGACATGATTTATTTTTACCATGATCAAACTGAAGGCAGGAAAAAAACTTCTAAAGGTAGATCTTCATTGGAATAATACTAAAAAAATAACAAGTCTGGAATTCAGTTTTATTTTAATGCTCCTCTAACATTTTTGAGATTTTCTACCTTTTCTATCTGGTCGATCATGTATTTAAAATCGTGCGATGTCCACCCCAGGGGGGCTTTGCAGATGCAGGCCTCTTTGTTTGAGTTGTTACATATTATAGTTATTTCTGTTAAAGACTACTCACTTGGCGCTTCAGCAGTCTCAACATGTCTCCTTGGCCACTGTACAGTCATCTGTAACAGTGGGGGAAAAAGCAGCTTTGTTCCCATTGGATTTTGGAGTTATTAGCAACAACCACATTTTTTTTAGCTGTTTATTAGCACAAAGCTAAATTGTTTTGCAAACTGTTTTCATTCTTATGTTAATACTGAGCAACTCTGTCCAACAAATTTTAGTTTTGCTTGGATACTGCAAAGTAGCCCCAAAATATTTGAAAGGAAAATCGATATTGAAGGCAAAAGGAAATTTGTGGCTGTACATTTGCTTGTTACAGTTTTGCTTCTGTAAAGTCTTATTTTTGGTGATCTAAAAACAGAAGTGTTGCCTGACTTGTTTAAGATTTTACAGCTATACTTTGTTGTGTAATGTTATGATTCCCATTCTGTAAAATGCTATTTTTGATGTTTTAAATAAAGCAGAAGCCCCACCCCCCTCAAAAACAACAACAACATGGTTTTCTATCACAATGCACATTTTAACACTGTTTCGCTTTTGAGATCATCTAAAGCACAAATTAAATAATCTTCATTTGATCAACGAAAGTATTCACTCATTCCTTCATTTTATCAAATGTAATGTACCATCTTCCGTGTCACTTTTCATGTTAATTTAAATATATAAGAAGAAATTGAACAACAATACAATTTTTAAAATAAATATATAAGGAGACACATCTTTTCTATCTCATTTGGTTGAACTTCAAACTCATGGATGAGCAATAGGACATTTTAACTATTTTCTACCATCAAAACTTATTTTATACATTTTATCTTTTAAGAAAAGTAGGGACTATATACAATCTTTCTTCTATGAAGACTTCCTACTGGTTCAGAAAAGAACTGATGCATTCTGAGTTTTTAAAAATATAACTTAAAATAAAACTCTGAGATTTATGAATCTCATTCAAATATATTATAGGCAAGTATCGAAAATTGGCTTAGTTTATTAATGAGAGATCCAGGAGAATTATAAAGCTGATCCAAAGAGGATAGGAAAGACTGCTACATATAATTAGTGAATTAAAGAAAGAATACAGAAATCAAGCTAAGTTAGATAGAAAATTAGTGATGTCCTCTAGGGCAATACAATCATAACCTTTTGAGTTATCTTCCTACTAAACAAAAATCACTTGTACCACTCCTGAAAAAAACTATTTTTGGCTCTTCTTTTTTAATTTAAGACCTAATTTTTCAGAGTATGAGCTTAACCAATAGTTTAGAAAATACCTTCTTCTGCCCTGGCTGGTGTAACTCAGTGAATTGAGCATAGACCTGTGAAGCAGAAGGTCACCGGTTCAGTTCCCGGTCAGGGCACATGCCTGGGTAGCGGGCCGGGTCCCTGGTAGGGGACACAGGACAGGCAGCTGCGCATGGATGTTTCTCTCCCACTCTTTGTCCTTCCCATCCCCTCTCTTTAAAAATAAATAAAATATTTTTTAAAATGCTTTCCTCCAAAGAAGTGAGCAATTTGGGGAGGAACTGCTATACAATGCTCCACCATATCCTTGAAAAGGCATACAGTCATTGGTTTGCTTTATTTTTAGGATAATTTTTTACTCCACTCTCTTCCCTACCTTCCCTGTTAAAAGAAATAGTACTTTGTCTAATACTTTGTTGACACTTATGTGCCCTATTTCATTTAGTTCTCAAATGAATATCCATACACATAAAACTTTTATGAAACTGATTATTTCCTTGTAAGAAAACCCTTAGGAAAATAAACTTGAATAAAATAGTGTACATATTTGGAATATCATTGATGTACATAGCCAAATTCATTTCTACAAAGGAAATATCAATCTATTCTACTCATGTAGAATAGTACACTCTATCATACTGACAGAGTACAGCATGATCATTCTAAAAATCAGGCAATTTGGTAGAGACAAAATGAAATCTCATTTCAATTTACCTATACAATATCTGGTTACTAATAAAGTTGAATTTTAGCCTAGTTTTATTCTCTTTAAAAAATGTTATTTGCTTATTTTTCTATGTGGATATTAGTGCCCATGTTTTAAATCCTTTGAGCTTTTAATATCAGAGGAACATTAACCCTGTGTTTAATTCTTACACATCAAAGAGCTTGTCATGAACAATATTAATAGAATATTTTATGTGAAGAGTAACAACATCATAAATGAGATTCATTTGTGCTAACCTGAAACTCAATGTAAGATTATAAATATACTAATAAAGCTGTAATGTTGTTTCCTCTTGCTCCATTAAAACTTCTTTAGTGAAAACTGTTTTATATGAAAACTACATATATAAATAATCTTAATAAGGGTGGAGAACAAAAACCACAGGAAAAAAGATATTTGTAAATATAAAATTCTTTGCAAAATCTCTGCAAGCATTATATTAATAAGTAAACAGTTTAACTTTAGTGTATTATGTTAAGAACAACTTAAAATAACTGGGTCATCTTCCGCAATAGTTTAAATCTTTTTTTGTGATGTGCTTGTAAAATAAAATCAAGAACCGAAACTGATGTATACCCAAGATTATGGTATGCAAAGTGTGGATGTGATGATATAATGTAGGAACCTGGCTGTTTCCTATGCCAATGCTGTGATCAGGAGCTCTCTGGTCCTTCAATACACACACACACACACGCATATATAACAAAATATGTCATTACTACTTTTGGTATTTTAAAAGTTTTCCTTGGTATTATTGCTATAAACCCATTTTAAAAGTAGTATTTAAAAAAATTACCCTATTTTCCAGGCCTGGAAAAATTGTAATTGAATTAAAGCATTCATTACTATAATGTTTTCTAATTCATAACAATTATATATAGAGAGACATATAGATATATAGATAGATAGATAGATATAAATATACAGCTTAATATACAATAAACACTGCAATAAAATAATGTATTTAAATGATATATAAAGTACACATATGTATATATACATATAGAAATATACAATATAGAGGACTGGAGAAGAACTATGGTAGTAGATGCTGAAAAATAGATTTTTTTTTAGCTCTGCAGAATCCTGAATAAATCAGTACCTATAAAATTACAGTAACTTTTGAGATCACTTTGTGATCTCACTTTGTTTGATTACTTTGTTTGTTTGATGTTGGGGGTGGGGGTTGGGCTCCCAAAGAAAGTGTGAGCCATTCGTGTTCTCTGCCAAGGTCCAGAGACCCACTAATCTGCAGTGTGATTCAGGGTGAACCCACAGTTCTCTGGCTTCCTTTTCCCCTCTCCCTTCGCCGCGGAAGCCAATGATTAGAAGTGTTACGTAGGGAGGGTAGGAGGGGCAGGAGGGAGGGAATTAGATGGGCGAAATCCCAGAAAATAAAATGTCCTGGAAAAACTCTTCAGGCACTTGCGTCGGGACAGCTCTTTCCCATGGCATCGGGGGCGTGTGGGCTGTCGGCGCTCGGCTAGCCGCCCGCACCCGCATCCCCTTGCCCAGCTCTGCCCCAGCTCCCAGGGTAGTGGGACGGAGCTTGCGTGGGACCCGGCGATGCCTGCCCCTTAACTTCCCCTGCACACTTCGAGTTCCACGAAATCCTCCAGGCGCGTACTGCTACTTTACTAGTTACTTGAGTTAGGGGTGGGAGCAAACTGTTGGCTCTTCCTTCAAATTCCCACGCCCCCAAAGGCCCAGTAAACGCCCAAGAGGGGTTAGAGGCTGCTGTAAACGCCTCGGAAGTCGGACCCCCAACCCCCGGCTGCTTCCTAGGCCAAGGCTGTGATCAGGGCCTTTTGCTTGGAAGATGATCCAAAAAGAGTGTGTAGCAGTGGGGTTGGGGGAAACTCTTAGGATCATGAAGTCAGGGACTCAGATTCCCCGGGGGTCTGCGACCACCTGGATTCCGCCGCTTCGCTCCGCCTCCGCATATTTTACAGCACTGACACCCGGGCGGGGGATTTTTGTATCGAATCCACAGGCAAAGAGTTCTAGGCCCTCAGCCCTGCTTGCCACGATCAGATTACTTTTCACAGACTGAAGCTGCTGGGAGGTGGGGTATTTACTTTTAATTCTTTTATGTATGTTCAGTTCACCTTGTGTGGTTGGGTGTGGAAGGAAGGGAGGGGGTTTTCCAAATGGGGTGGAATTGCCATTCCGTGGGTATTACCCTGCCTGTGGGGTTGGCAGTCCTTGAAGTTTAGCAAGTCTGCAAATAAAGTACAGAACACAATAGAGTCCCCCTCCCTTCCTCTCTTTTTTCTTTTCCTGCCTTCAAAAGCCTTCTTCGAGGCTGAAGCTGGGCAGGTCTCCAAAGGTGCAGCAGCCACAACAATCTCGCAGTTCCCAGCTAAGCAGTTGCACAACTTCCAGCAACTCTCTTAGCCGGTTACTAATGAGCTGAAAGCCAGGAACATCTGAGGAGGTGAGGAGTAGGCTTCCAATCCTCTTCCCTTTACCCCAGAAATCCAGACACCCCCAGCCCCCACCCTCAGATAACTTTTGAGATAAGATCCTTTCTGCTCATTTGTCTGTTGAACCATGGCTCCCTTTGGAAGAAACTTGCTAAAGACTCGGCATAAAAACAGGTAAAGTTCAGCATGTGTGTGCTCGCGGGTTTGTGTAAAAGTATGTGTGTGTGTGTGTGTTGCTGTTATTATTGTTTTTTCAGTTAGATTTTGATGAAAGTTGTTCTTAGGGGACAAAGGCCTAGGGAGTTAGGTCTTGTATTTATACTTAACTGGTGAGGATATTGTTTCCCTAACAATGACTGGAGTGGCCAGGGCAAGGACCGCTGAAGATAATGATTGTTTTAATTCACTTGTCTCTCTTTGGCCATTGTTCCACAGCCAGCATCCCCCCAATCTCTTTGTGTTCCCTGGCATATTTGAGAGTAGTGGGCTGGCAAATTTCATTTTGCTTCAGACAAAATTTTATGTTGTGTTATAGGATGAGTTAAATTTTTGATGAAGATATAAGTAAAATTCATTAACAATTAATTAGAAGGAAAAACACAGCGGCTGATAGACTCCTGAAACAATGCTTTGGCTCCCCAAAAGTAGGGCAATCTGAAACTTGAACAGTTACTGAAGTGAAAATGCCCAGTGGAGAAACTTTTCATGAGCTGATTCTTTCAAAATCTTTGCAAACTGTAGGTGATTTTAGGCACTAAAGGATGATTCAAACAGCTGTCCTCCTTAACCCTTATTAATATTGTACTTTGATTTCCTCTGCTCTTTCAAGCGTTCGCTGTTCATAGTCTAAGTAAATCTGTTTCTTTGCCTCTCTGTCTCTTTCACACACACAGATGTTTTGTGAGCCAATAATGTGTTTCAGTCCTATTAAATATTTTATTAACATCTCCAGTGTTATATTTCTGTGCCAAAAACAGTGAGAATAATCTTACGCACGGGCTTTACTTTTTTAATATATTTATTTTGGCATAAGGGCTTTTCCACAAATGGTCTCTCAGTCATGTCTGTTTGTACTTGTAATTTACTTAGTGTAAATTTAAAAGCATACAATTAGATGCTAGAAAATGATACAATCAAAGTGTCTATGTAGGAATGTAGAGTGATACAATTTTAAAGTAAATTTCCAGTTTAAGTTGTACTGAATGTCTACTTGAAACATTCTGCTTCTAACTCATTGCAAAGGTATTCATGATTTAGTTGATGAAGTTTGCTTAAGAAACTAAAACAGCAGTGATTAATACTTCCAAAAAATTTAAACCCATTTTATTCTCTAATAACTTATGCCACAAATATGGTATTTCTGGTAATTTATAAAACGATATGGTAAAATAAAAATATGTATTTGGGTATTATCAAAAATGTGTTAGTAATGAGTATCAAAATTAGGTTTGTATTTTAGTATATTAAAAAATTCCACAATACTCCTCTTGTCAAAAAAATACCCTTACTACTTTTAAAATAATTATTCAGTAGCATTATTTATGAATATATTTATTTAAATGCTACTGAAATCCGTTAAATTACTTTGGGAGAGTTCATGGTTTTATAAGACAAGTTACATTTCTAGCATACGGATCTTTTTGAATACTTCCCCTGTAGTTCGGGATCGTTGTGCGCATGCGCGTGTGTTCATTTTTTGTTTTTTATTGTTATAAATTTAAGAATTCTGTCATTGGTATGGCAGATAGCAGTGCCCTAAAGCTTTGCATGCACTGCTGTGAGTTTCGCTCAGGGGAGTACATTTCCACTGTCATTACCTCAATTTTGCCGCTGCACCGTCTCATCTACTCTGCCCATAAAACTAGTTTTTGTTCAAGGAGGTAGGTAAGTATGTGACTTTTTTATGCAAAATTATGAAAAAGTGGAAATAAACAACAATAAAGAGTGAGGAATTTCATAGTATTTCAAGTTTCTCTGAAAAAGTGGAATGGTGCTCCCAGAGATGATGCTTTTTTTTAACCTGTTTTGGCAAAAGTGGTAACAGGATATTAAGTTCCTCTTATAATTGAGTGCATTCTATTTCCAGATTTGTATTTTGTAACCCTTTAGAAAAATGTAAACCACAGTGATAGTCAAGTACATACAACTATGTTGTACATATGTTGTATTTCAAATTAAGCAGTAAATAAGTTTATTGAAATATAATTTGGGTCTACTGTTTTTTTTTCAGATTAAGTATTGCTATTGATGAGATATTTTTGTTTTATTTTATTTTATTTTCCACCTTCTCAAAGTGGAGGCTGCAGGTAAAACTTAGTTACATGATTAAGATTATCTATTTCTTTTATAATGAGTTAAACAATCCTACTAGGACACAGAAAAAACAAATATCTTTCCTTAAATGACAAGTCTCTATCCTTTCGTAGAAAACGTGATTGATAATAAAACACTTATTTGATAACAGTAAGTTGATTCCTGAAACATTGTATAAAATTCCTTGTAGAATGTAAAGGAAGAATTTGAGTAATATATTTGCATACCTCTTGATCGATAATCCATGCAACTAAAAGAACCACTTGAACATAATTGCATCATTGTCAGCAGGAATAAATGCAAATAACTAGAAAGAATATTAAGAATTTGAAATCATAAAAAATTGAGAAAGTTTGTTTATTGAACTTCTTGGCATCATATTCAGTCTTTTCATTTTCTCCTCTCTTAGAGTGATATTTAATCATTCAAGATTGAACTACCTGAGATAGGTCTGTAAATATTCTCATTACACATAGATATTTGAGAGTTTTACAGACAGACGGGACACAAATGAAACTTTATGTGGCATAAAAACCTTTCAAAGACACAGCTGGGATTTCTGGAGAGGGCGGGGCATTTATGGCTACTCACCGGTGTGTTTTCCTGCCTAGAACAGTGTCTGACGCACGATAGACCTGTGATAGAGTTGTTTCTATAATTCTGTAAGCTGGAATTGTCATTTGTACTCAAACCAAAATACAGTAATTATTTTATTTTCTATTCATCATCTGGTGTCAGCTGGCATGATATAAAAGGGAATGTTTTATAGAGGTTTAGTTGGCATTTGATATAATTCAAAACCCAGGGTAATAGAAAAATAATTATATGGGCTTGAACACTAAGCTTATCCTACCCTACCAGACTATCTCTTCCAAGTTTAAGAAATTATTTAAATTCAAAAATCTGGGAAACGATCTTCAGGAAATTTGAGAGTATGGTCACAAAATGATTGTATTTGAGCATGCAAACCTTTTATGCCTTTTATTCCTAAGGTACTTAGAAGTAAAATAAATGGAGCCAATCTAAAATTCTTTATGTTTACAATCAGGATTGATATTTATTTTCTAAGTGTAGTCATGTTTAATAGGAAGAGTAGTTTTCAGGAGAGCTTTGGAAGGATCTTATGCAGCTTTTTGTTCAACATGAAGAATAAAATTGTTGGAGAGTCTTGATATTTCCTTCTCAATAAACTAGTCAAAGTTCTGAAAAATGTTTTCTGAAAGTCACTAGATATATATTGGTTTTCATATAAAAGCCGAAGAAGCAAATAATGAAGGTTAACTTCACTCAGCATTCATATGAACATTCAATAATTGGATTTAGATTATTAACATATTCAACTATTCAAGAAGGTTTTACTTGTCATCTTTATTTTCATTCTATTTTCTAGATAATGGTTGTGTCAAAAACTGGTGCTACTGAATAGCAATCAGCAACTGTTGTAAAAGTTCAGAAAGGTAGAATGTCACTGTAAAGCTTTTAGGGATCCTTGCTAGTGAGTTATGATTCCTTGGGTTTTTTTTTTAATTAATATTTTATTTATTCTTAGAGCAAGGGGAAGGGAAGGAGAAAGCGTGGGAGAGAAATATTAATGTGTGGTTGCCTCTCATGTGTCCCCTACTGGGGACCTGACCTGCAACCCAAGTATGTGCTCTGACTGGGAATTGAACCAGCAACCCTTTGCCTCACAGACCCATGCTCAATCCACTGAGCTACAGCAGCCAGGGCTGATTCCTTGTGGTTTTAATTAATAAAATTTGAGGGCAGAGAATTGGTTGAACTTTCTACCAAACCTTGCTAGAAGATTGTCGTAATGAAGCAGCATCTCATACATTGTTGAAAATTTAAAATAGAATAGTTCATTTAGGTGATTTGTAAGAGAAAAGAAAATTCACAATAATTATGGTGGGATGTAATGTAGTTAATGTGGCCTTCATAATTATTATTAAGTACTGTTCGGGCTGCTCTTGACTGTCCTTTGGCTGTTTGTATAGCTATGAATATGTGTCTGTCCCAGATGATAGGAAACACTGTCATAATAACTCCAAATCAAAAGTTGCTAAAATATATTTGTAATAAATATATTAGAAATAAAAATTCTGCTCTGTTGTTTATGATTAATACAATAAAATGTGCATTAAAAATTGCTTTTGAAGCAATTAAAGCATATCTAGCCAAGTTTTAAAAAACCAGGTGCTTTAAATTTCTCTTATAAATGCATCATACCATGAATGCTTCATCAGAAGGAAGAATTAAGTTTCTGGTTAGAAGATTTAAGTTTTGCTGGCAGGATGGATATTTTTTCTTAATAATTAGAAGGATAGTAATTCGTGAATTCTGCAGAATGGGAAATTATTATGCAATGTTTTTGTCCAACCGTATTTTAAATGGTCTCCAAACTAGAGTTAGAAATGCCAGATATTTGAGTATGTACAAACTCCTTAGTTCCCAGGAGTTCCTGAAAGAGATCTCCCCTAATGATACCTGGTAATTTAAGTAGTTACTAGTTGGCAGCAGACACCTTGTTAAGAACAATGACTGGAAAGCTCCATTCCTGGCAAAAATAGCCTGAGAGCAGTAGCAGTGGTGAAATTGAGCCCTAGGTTCAATCTCAAATTGTTACTCAAACAACTATAGCCAACTTAAAAGCCACTACATGAGATGTATTATTGTGCTCTGTACTAATTCTTCAAATGTCAAGGTATAAAGTTCTTAAGTGAATTTTTTTGAAAAAGAAGTTTTAAAAAGTTTATAGGTGGTTAACAATTTTATTTACATAAGTTTTGATTGGTATGTATTTCTAGGAGCATTGATAATAGTTTTAAGTCATTCACGAAAATGTAGCTCTTTTAATTTTTAGT